CTGGAGTGTCACATTAGGGCCACCGGAGCGACCCACCATATAAATAGAGAAAAATTTAAAAATTTTCTTAAAACATGTAAAATCATAAAATGATTTATTATTTTTCAGAAATAAAACGGGTTTATCAGTCTCTGATATAAAAACTAAATACAATCTACATGCCCCCTAATCACATGTACCATACTCTGCATTCAACGCCGGAAGAGCTCCCTTACTGAATTCGATAGATGCACTGGTACAATTCTTTTAACCTGCAATGGTGAGTAATAGAGTGAGCTTCGGAAAATTCAATAATACAGAACTACCAGATGATGCTACATGACATGCAGATAAATGGGAAGCCATAATTTCCTTATTGAATCAAACGTATACCAATTGCGAGATAATCTGGGGTTCCATTAGTAGTTCATCGAGTAGAAGCCATGAATCTCAGTTCATAAGAAACCTTTCATACTATCACATTTTCATGAGGTCAAATAGGATGTCTAGTGTATTCCATCAGTACGATAAAATCATAATAGGTACACTAATCAAATGATAGTTCAGTAAATCCTATAAACCATAAAACTATCGTATAAAGAGTTAACCTAAGGGAATATATTAGGGCCTGGGAGCCTACTCAAGAAAGTTTGGGGTCACGGGGCCTACCTAAGAACACATCTTAGGGCCGCAGGGCCTACCCGAGAATAATCTCAAGGCCGCAAAGCCTACCTAAGAGTCACATTAGGTCCATAAAAATTTTCCAGCTTGATCAGAGTTGTACTATACAAATCTGTATCTCCAAGATATAATTTATACCGTGATACAAATCCATAAGCCATCACCATTAAGTCGGTGCATCCATAAAACATTAACCATAGATTTCAGTGTACCTCATGTTAAAACAACAAAACAATTTATTAAAAAAATAAGGAACACACTAAAGAAATCTCAGTACTTATCAGATACATTTTGCAGTTATCAGCATAGATAACATGAAACTGATGTCTTTTGATCAGATCCCAGGAACGAGGTCCTATTGAAGAGAATCAATTACTAACCAATCTAATCAGACATTTAAGGTTGATACTTTAGAATCTCACTATGTTTTCATATGCATCAAGAGAGAGTTCAGGTATGACCGGAGTAATTTGAACTGATAAAGGAGAAACGAAGATTCAGGGCACTTACCATCCTTGTCAATCGATCGAACTATCGAATAACTCCCAAAACTAATGTATATCAACGAGTTAATTCATTGCCCTTCCATGGTATTCACTCTTTAATACCAACAAATCTTATTCATAGATCATCTTCAGAAATATTATCGAATAAGTCTTAAGGAGACAAACAAACATTCCAATGGTCTTTACTTCATTACCATGTTTCAACTATATCTGACAATACTGATGTATTTGATTCATGAATCATGACCCATAAGGACAACTTATCAAGTAAATTCAACAGTGTTTCCAGATTCATCCAAACCACTTATTTAATCCTCAATCATTGAGGTTACTTAGTTCATTTAGCAATCATGACTATCACGGTTACTTCAGAGTTTTTCGGAGTAATACAGACGTTTCTGAATTTCAGATAAATATTGTACTTTCTTTCAGTTCAATTTAGTCATATAATAATCATTCTGATATTTGTGGTTGATTTGTCTCACGAATATCCACTTCTTAGTACCGAATAAGCTCTAGAGTTGAGTTGAGCCAAGTACTTCCAGAATTATCATCGATCCAAACTTGAGAAGACGAACACACATTCAAATGATATCTATGTCGTTCAGGTACTAACATATCATTGGGGTTGATCGGCTCACTTCAGTTGTGTTCCTTAAATTTTAAGGGTAGAACAACACCTATGTTTATTTGGATTCCTTAATTAATCCAAGACATTTACTTAGTCTAGGCCATAAGGGTATTTTGGTCATTCTGGTACTCAATTTTATTCCATTAATTTCAGAGCTCGAGGATATCCAATCATTCATGAGTTTAGTACTATTCTTAGGTCATTTCCATTCCAGGGTATTCTTGTCATTTTATAGATCCAGTGTATTACAATTATTTTCTTCCGTTCGATCTCATTATCGAATTCAAACTTATCATTATTTTAGTCATTTCGAACAATTCTGACAAAATATCACCATCGATAAATTATTATTCTTCATGTACTTACTCAAGTCGGAGATTTCCAGGTTAAATGCCTTCTCAGATGTTACTAACAGATTATCATGAATTTTCCATACAAAAATAGGATCTCAATAATCAAATCAATAATTTATCAGTTTAAAAACAAATTCTCATGTTACTTCCTCATTCAGAGTCAACTTGGACTATTTTACCTCTCAAGGGCATTTTCGTAATTTCTTAACCAGATAATTTTGGTATTAACTCTTAACGAAAATAATTATACTTTAGAGATCCAATGGTTAATTGCTTTCCCGAACATTCTTTGATCTCAAAATGATTCCTTAACAAACTTATAGTATCTTGCATAAACCATATTGGGTTAAAACCCGGTTATCCAAATTTTCTAAGCAAACTAGCATTTCTTATGCACATCTGTAGTTTTATCAGATCAGTATATCATTTCAGAGTTAATAATCAACTTCCAGGGACAATTTTTGTCGTCTTACAACATAAGGGTATATCCGTAATTTTACCCTACCGAAATATTCTCATAATTTTTCATCCAAGTACCTTTGATGAAATAATTATATGTTACAGATCCAAGCTGAATCATTTATCACTAAACACAAAACTTGTAATTTTAATTCTAACAATCCATCAATTTCTTATAAAAGTCATCTAAACCATAATCAGTTACCGAATTTTTATCGTATTTGGATCGAGTGTAGAAATTAATTAACTACACATATGAGACCAATATTATCTTATTCATGCATTTACCAATATTCACATGTTCCATAAAGCATAAAGAGGTAGTAAAGTATTACCTCGATTTTCGTGTCATACTGATCGGCCATTAAATTTCATTTGAATGTCCTCGATCCTTAATTCCACTTCCAATAATTTCTCAGATGCATATCAACATAAATTACATCAAAAACGAGCTTAATTCCAAAAAAAACAGATCGAATCGAGTGATAAAACAGTGAAAAACAGGTTATCGGGTTCGATTTTGGCAAAACGGACCCCAAAAACAGATTTAGGACATTGAAAACATCAGAATAGGTATACCCGGTCAAAGGTCGTTCAACGCCCGATCAACGCCGGTCAAAGTTCTAGTCAACGTCGGTCAACGCATGTCAACAGTCAACAGTCGACCGTTTTACACAAATATCACCCTAACCGAAATTAATTACAAAATTAGCCACCTTCCACAAATATTTACAAAACTAACACCCGAATTTTTCACAAATATCACCGTAACAGAAATTAATTACAAAATTAACACCTTACACACAGTGGCGGCGCGTGCGGCGCGTGAACAGTGATACGGTGTTGGAAAATTCCCGAAAAAATTTCTAAAAATTATTTTAAGGTATTTTGAGACACTTACCAAGCTCGGTTCATAATTTTGAACGGCGGAGAGCTCGATTCCGAAATATCGAAAACTTAGACTTTGTCACCCCTCCACGCGCCGGTGACGACGGAGAACGGAGGACACCGACGGACTCGGAACGATTCAAGGAACACGATGGAGTGAGAGGTGTCGAAAACGGTTAGCTGGATCGATGTGAATCGACAAAAAACCAACGAAAATTGAGTTAAAACTGATGATGCTTCTGACTGAAATTAACGATTCACGACGACGATTCACGACGAAAGGTTTGTGGTTTTTTGTTCATCGGTCGACAACGAACATGATGGTGGTTTCGGTTAGTCGATCGGAGGTCAGACGGCGAATAGATCAAAGTTGAAAGTGAGTTGACCGGAGGAGGAAGATAAAACATTTTTTTGCAGAAAACAATAGGAGGAAGGGATTTATATTTTCTCCTAAAGAAAAATAGTCAAATCATGAGTTTAGTCACTGAATTCCCTGCACTTCTTAAAATAGACTGTCAACTTTGAAATTTTACAATTTAATCCTCAATTTTCTTTCAAAATACAAATTAAATCCACCACGTTTTAAAATTTAGCCTCTAAATTGGGATGTTACACAATCATCATTTTAATCACTAATATAACTTATTCGTTCAATTTAACATATTATATTATGAATTTAAAAAAAAATACTTGAAATAATAGTAAATTATTAATTACTATTGAACAATTAATATATAAACTATGCAAATACAATTATATATCGTAGAAAATAAATCTAAATTAAAATTTGAACAAATTATAATTTTAATAAGCTTTTATCCGAAAAACATTAAGATTTAAAAAGTCAAATTAATAGTAAAATTAGTAATAATAAATGAAACAATAAATGAACAATAAAAAAAATTAACAGAAAAAAGAGTCGTTATATTTTCTCCTAAAGTCTCCATTGGCAGAAAAAATAAGGAGGGAATGGGATCTGCTTCTTTCTTCTTCTTGTTGAAGGATTCACATGCTCTTTTGAAGATTCAAGGTATGTTATTATTGTTTTTTTTTTCTCCTCATAATTTTCGTAACGTCGTTTGCCAAAGTTAACCTTGTTCTCCCATATTTGTATACTTAAATGAAGGCCGTGGAACCGATTAGTATTGTTCTTTCTTAGAGGAGAAGAGAATGATTGTTTTCATATAAAAACGAGAAATATGCTATGCTATTTTTAGGATTTCCAAAGGGTCAAAATAATAAATTTTTTGTAACCATTTCACATAAAACAATTAACTGACCTGACCAAATGTCTATGCACCAGTCAGAAACTGAAATAACACTTTTTTAATATTCAAGCGTACTCGTTAACAGCCATCGAAAGTATCTCCCAAATGGTACTCGAGTTAATGTTAACATTATCAAAAGTACTCGTTAACAACCAGAGTTTTCATCATCACAATCCAGAACCGATGGACTACAGATTCAGTAGGTCAAGTGGATTCAACATCGTGCAGGACATACGAACATAATCCAAAGCTCCAAACATTTGAAACATTTCACATCATTTAGTTGTGTAACCAACGTTTTGTTTCATATGGGATGCAGGTCGTGTAAGTGTGAAGCGTCGAGAAACATCCCACCATGCATTGTGCAACATGAACCTATAAATCTATAGAGAAAAAAAATTTTAATATCCCGAGCTCACATAGGATTTGGTACAAGAACCAACCAATTTGGTTTATAGGGTATATCTTCAAGTATTAATAACTATCGATATCAGTTTCCGGCCATCTAAGGTAATAACGCAGGCAATTCACCAGCACCTGCAGGTTGTGTAGTAAAAGTTTAAGAGCAAGGGAATGATGACAAAGATCCAGCAGAAACATAAGTTTAACAAGAAACTTTATGTATTGGCCTTATTTCTCAAAATGAATGGCTTCATTCGAAAAATAAAGAACATTTGATACTTAGGCAACTGAGAAAAAACAAATTGATATCGTTCAGAAAATAGATTGTCAACCTTAACAAATACCTGAGACAAGGAACTATTTAAAGCTGCTCCTCTGTAGCTAACGTGAAACTTGTCTTTCGCCACTAATCCCTGTGAAGTACACAGAACAAAAGGTGGTGAAAAAGGTTTCAGTGCGCATATACGGACTCAAAAAACGAGAGATGGATACCTCCGTATCAATTTCTGCAGATTCTACATCAATAATGACTTTGATAATCTCTACCAGCAGTCCAGGCCGATCTGCTGTCTCTATGGAAAGCAAGCTGGTAACACAGGGAGCAAATATATAAGCTGATTATATCATAATGGATTTAAAATATCCCAATATGTTGGTTGTGTGTGATCTAAACTGTGGAAAGGTGTGACTTATGAGCTGAAATCCATTTCCCATAAGAATTTATTTTGGATAGCAAACCTCCTATTGGGTCCATCTTCCTTGATACGTATACGAGTAGCAATGTCAACATCAAGCTGCACCAACAAATTTATAGAGGCTTAGGCTCAAAGTTCATAATATCCCAAACCCAAATGGCGCTTGCAACAACTCTTTGATATCTAATCAGAAGGCATTTTCATTTTCGAAGCCTGATCTAATCTTGATGAAATCAACATGTGCTTTTGCTTAGAGTTGGGGGCAGGAAAAACCAAACTTAAAAAATTATTAAGATTAGTTGGACCCCATTCTATGTCAAAACCGAATTAAATCCACTCAAAGGATTCAGCTATGGCGGCAATCAGTTTGGACTCAGAAATACTCTGAAAAGAACTAGAATACCATTCTGAATCCTAGGTAACTTAAATTCAATGTCCAGTTTTCAAACGGCACAAAGGTAATCCATTCAAATGTCGTAAAAGCTAGAGGCGACATTCAATCTGAGATAAACGGAGTATAAAATGCATGATTCTAATTTTGTATAAAATATTTATGTCCCAAGAATAAGTCCAGCATATATTAACAGATTTATCATTGCCTTTTTTTCCCCCCTAAAATGAAATAACCAGAATCTATAACCTTCAAGAATAATGTAAATTGGAATCAAGATCATTCGTTTGTGTAACACAAGGAAACACTGCTACTGGCATCCTATTACATAATTCTCTGAATCATCCAAATTTACTTAGACAGGAGTGACCTAACCACATGCACGTAACAACCAATATTAACAGTATTCCTGGATTCCAGCTTCATAAAAAAATCCAAAAAATGCAATCAGATAGTACTTTAAACAAACTGAGGTGAGGAGGTCTCTTACCTAAACATAGACAACTCAGCTATGAAATAAAACAAAGAAAAGATAAAATAAGTTACATAATTGGTTTGGCCAGTAATCCCAGAAAAATAAGCTTATAACATTTTGAAAGGAGAAAGCAATACAAGTTCCCACTTAACTGTATCAATGAGAGCACCCAGACGATTTCCAAAACTCAGCTGCACAACTGTTGCTTCTGGATCTGAATATTGATCAATCAAAACAATTGGCACTGGAATATAATCATCATCTTGTCCAGTTTCCTGCAATGTAAATCACCTAATTAAACTAATGGCATAATTATATATGCAGCGTGATGCAGAACAAGAATATGCTCATCAAGGGATTAATATATTTAGATTTTATGGATTGAATGGTAATTTTAGCATCTAGAAGAGAGGAATGTTAAAGACAAACATCCAAATGACTTCCAAAAATCACTAGGAAAGCAAGAGAGGAACTAAATCTCAAGCTTCTCAGTTAGTGAAATAGTAATTTTGTCCTTTCAGCTACAATGTCTTTAATGTACTTGAGGTTGGGCTTTGTTTCATGGTGTTGAACTGTTGATGACAAATAAGGGTTATGTCAGATATTTCTCGGTGAATTGGGCCTTCACAATGGCACCAATGCCCAACCTAAATAATTGTAAGACTGCTATAAAACTCGGGTTAATCCAAAATTTTGATAAGTACTTAGTCACAAGGTCAGCTTCTCGAACTTTACTTCATTTACTGAAATGTCTTTGAATGACTAATGGATGTATTTGACAAATTCATAAAATGAATTATAATGTTAGCTTTTTATTCATTTTATATAATTTATTATAATTAATAATTTATCTTCACACACTCATAAGAAACATTTTTGTTTAAAAATATAAACCGATATGATCAACGTTAAACGTTTCATTTACTATCGAGTTCGTTTGATTCATGCAAACGAAATTTATTTTAGATATTAATTTTAAAATTAACATATTTTGATATTTAATTGATAAAATGATATTTTTCATGTCAAAAAATCGTCATTCGATGTGTGCGCCATTTTTTTTGTGTGTGTTTTCTCATAGCCATGATTTTCACTAGTGGTTGATCTTTTTTAGTCGTATGGTTTAAAAAAAATGGGTCAGTTTCATCTCTTCAGAACATTTCAAAGCCTTCTCCGGAAGAGAAGCACGTGGCCATCCATGAATAAGTGTTGTATAGGTTTTAGCATTTGGCTTTACTCCAAGACCATGCTTATGGGATTGTATTCATTGCTCTCTGGTAAACAAATGTCAAAATAAGAATTTACTGCTAAAAATAACATGGACGTCAATGTACAAGAAGCGCCCAAAGGCTTTATTTATAATGAAAATAGTGCCACTGTGCCAGGAATCAAATTAACAAGCTTCATCAGTGAGAACTTGAACACAAGTTGAGTGCAGCAGACAAAGGAACAAGTCCACCGCAACATAATTCATAATCCATCGATTAAAATGTTGTAGACTGTTATACCGCCTGAATACATCCGTCGAAGAATGATGACAATCTACAAATATAATTAGCCAAAACACAAATCGAATGAAAACCTTTGAAGATCATTTAAAGCAGTCTTCATGAATATGTGATCTAAAACTCATATAAAAAGGAAAAGAAAGCAAAAAGAACTTCACATTTCCCAATTCTCTCCAAGCTTCAAACAGACAGATAGTCCACTCTTCCTTTCCTTTTCCTCCCTTTTTCCCAATTTCTCTAATTATTCAATATTGTCATCTTTTTAATTTAATTATGTAAATTACCCGTCGCTGAGAATAATCATTTTAGTATTTTTATAAAGACATATAAAGTGCTTATTCCGTTCTTTGTTCTTAATAAAGTGTTTTAAAATCATATAAAAATAAAAATCACTATTAAAGCTGCCAACTTTTAATTTATCGACATAAATTTGTGATCTAAAAAGAAAAGAAAAGAAAAGAAAAGGCAAAGTTAAATCACATGCAAGCCACTTTCGCATACAAAAGACCAAAATTTTGCCTCACTAACGGGAAAAGCATAAACCCCAACTTCCACTTGTCACCAATAGCTTCGTCTTCCTCACATATATATAAAGCTTGATGGCTGCTGCCTTAGTTTGATAGCTGATAATACATCAATTCTTTGTTTTTCTGGATATCTAGATGAAACCCACCGAGCTTGAAGCTCTAAGGATCTGATTTCGTTTCTTGATTTCCAGTGTTTAAAAAAGATGAGAGCTGGAGTTTGCACTGTGCAGCAAGCTTTAACAGCTGAGGCTGCTAGCATGGTGAAGCAAGCACTTGGTCTCGCTCGACGGCGAGGCCATGCGCAAGTCACTCCTCTTCACGTAGCGAGCGCCATGCTCGCGACGTCAACCGGTCTTCTTCGAAGAGCTTGTCTTCAATCTCATTCCCATCCGCTTCAGTTTAGAGCTTTAGAGCTTTGTTTCAATGTCGCACTCAATCGCCTCCATGCATCCACTTCTAGCCCTTTATTAGGCCCTCATCACCATCATCCTTCCCTCTCCAATGCCTTGGTGGCCGCGTTTAAGCGCGCTCAGGCTCACCAACGCCGAGGCTCCATCGAGAACCAACAGCAACCTATTTTAGCTCTCAAAATAGAGTTAGAACATCTCATACTCTCCATCTTGGATGATCCGAGTGTTAGTAGGGTTATGAGGGAAGCTGGTTTCTCTAGCACCCAAGTTAAAATCGAAGTAGAACAAACAGTTTCCATGGAGATCTCTTCCCAAACTCCATCTCCAAAAGAAAGCAATCCCAACCCACAAGCTCTCGGTGCTAACCCGAATGGTCAGACTCAGTATGGGTTCGGATTTTCATCGAGCAAACAGCTAGACCGAGTTAGGAACGACCGAGATGTGACCAATGTTTTGAGCACTATGATGAATAGGAAGGGAAACACCGTCATCATAGGAGAGTCAGTCGCCGTTGCCGAGAGTGTTGTTAGAGGAGTGGTGGATAAGTTCGAGAAAATGCAAGTCTCTGGGGATTTAAGATACCTTCAGTTAATCAGTCTTCCACTGTTTTCACTAAAAAATCTTGATAAAGATGAAGTGGAGCAGAAGCTTGTAGAGCTCAAATGCCTTGTCAAGAGTTATATGGGAAGAGGGGTTGTCTTGTTCTTAGGTGATCTCAAATGGATTTCAGAGTTTTGGTCAAGCTATGGTGATCAAAGAAGGAACTACTCTTGCCCGGTGGAGCATATAGTCATGGAACTCAAAAGATTAGCGAGTGGGAAATTGTTTCTCATGGGAATTGCAACTTTTAAAACTTACATGAAGTGTAAATTAGGCCATCCTTCTCTTGAATCAATTTGGGAGCTTTATCCTTTTACAATTTCAGCTGACAGCTTAAGTCTCGGTCTTAATCTTGAAAGGTAAATTATTTGATTTATTTTCTCGAGAAAAAAAAGGGTTGTTTGTTTTACTTATGGCTTATGCTAATCATTTTTATTCTTCCTTTTTTTGCTTTATTCCAGCTGCGATGCTCATTCTCAGTATGAAGCAAAGGAATCTATAGATTCGGTTACTTGGCCAGTGTCTGAAGCTGAAATAAATAAGAATCACAGTTCCTTCACTGATAGATTGTTCAACTTCGACAATGTCGTCTCTTCCAGTTCAAGTTTGCCTTCATGGCTGCAAAGCTACAAGGAAGAAACCAGAACAAATTCTTCCCATGATAATAAGGTATTTATCCTTCTCCTTTGAACTTCAGTTTGCAGAATTAATCATTGAAACAAGTTGAAATTCACATTTTCTTTTGCTTTTTTATTCACAGGAAGCTAACTGGCCAGTCATCTTTGAATCCAAGAAGTCACCCAAAGAGCTCCAGTTTTGGATATCTGAAAACGACCCCAAGCCTGAACTCCTCTCGAATCCGAATTCTAGCCCGAATTCGGCTTCTTCGAGCGAGGCGATCGAGGAGGATATTGACGGAATTAACGCGTTCAAGGATCTTAATGCTGAAAACATTAACATTTTATGCAATGCTTTGGAGAAACAGGTTCCATGGCAGAAGGATGTGGTTCCTGAAATCGTTAGCACCATACTAGAATGCAGATCGGGGACGAGAGAAGGCAAAAGCTGGTTAAACCAAAGAGAGCTCAAAGAAGAAACTTGGCTGTTCTTCTTAGGATCCGACAATGAAGCCAAGCAGAAGATTGCTAGGGAGTTAGCTAGACTCGTTTTCGGTTCCCAAACCAGCTTTGCCTCCATAAGTCTGAGCGATTTCGGATCGAAAAGGGCCGATTCGATCGAAGATAACAAGAGGAAGAGATCAGATGAGTCAGGCAACATTGATCATGTTCTTCAGAGATTTGGCGAGGCATTGAACGAGAACCCTCACAGGGTTTTCTTCGTGGAAGACATGGAACACGTTGATTGTGGTTGTCTGAAAAGGATCAAGCAAGCAATTGAAACCGGAAAGGTGACAATTTCTGATGGTGTTACGGTACCTGTAATGGATTCCATTGTCATTTTCAGCTGTGAAAGCTTCAGTTCGATGTCGAGAGCTTGTTCTTCGAGGAGAAGGCCAAATCGTAGTGACCCAGAAGAGATGAAAGGAACAGAAACGGAGCAGGATGAAAAACAATCTGTTTCTCTGGATTTAAACATTGCCATTGGAGATAACAGCAAGGAAAGTGACCATGAAATTGGGATACTGAAATGTGTTGATAACCAAATTGTTTTTAAAGAACAGAACAGGGGAAGAAGATGGTGATGAAGGAGGCAATTATTTTTTACTTTGATTTTTGTTTCGCTTACGTTGTGTGGTATATCTGTTTGGAGGGATAGAAAGAAAGAAAGAATCAAACTAACATGGTTTACAGTGAAATCGTGGTTGGGGATTATTTGGAACGACAGATTTAGCTATGTAGAACTGATCAATATCAATGTATAATTATGCATCGTTGATATATGTATGTATGAATGATAGTCTCATCCTACTCTGTTATTGTTAATTATGATAGCATCTATTCAGATTTGTATCAATAAAACTAAAATTATACAAATATCATTTATATATTTTCTAAATTTTAAAAGATAGATAAATGAGACATTTATCTTCACTATTACTCTCATTTTTAATTGTGATTTTTTGAACTGACAACATATCAAATATTTTAAAAAATAAAAAACATGTAATTGTAGAATGAAATACAAATATTTTTCCTTATTATTAATTTTTGAAATAGTAAGTAGCTAATTTATCAAAAATCTTTTTAGCTCAAGGGTATATAATACTCTTAAGTTTAATTACTTATTTGATGCTTAAATTTTTCCATTTTTCAATTTGGTATTCTTTTCAAACTTAGTATTTAATTTTTTATTTCGTCAATTATTTTGAAACTTAAAAAATTTCTCAGTGAAATTTAAAGATTTCATGATAAAATCTTATGTTGTGTAACAACGTGTGAGGTTTCTTTAATTTTATTGCAGTGGAAGTTCTATTAGATTTTATTGTGTAACTATGTGCTAGTTATTTAAATATTATATTATTTGTGATTAATATTTTTGGTTACAAAACACACACAAAATTATTTTCTATAATTTATAATTAAGAGATTACAAACCCTAAACTAACACCTGCCTAGCCATTTATTTACTTTTAAACCTATTAATATACAAATCGGTGTCTTAACTTGTAACTTTATTCAATTTGGCATTTTATTTTTTTTATCAAATTGATATTTAAACTTAAAAAAAAATCTCAAACTGGTACTTGTATTGATTTTTCATCTCAACAATCAATTAAATTACTGACATGGTATTGACTGGTCAAAACTTTAAAGCAATTAAGTGTCACATGTTACAATCTAATTAGTTGTTAAAATGACATATCATCATCATATACAAATGTGGGGGGAAATGACCATTGGAATGGTCCTAGTTATTAAGACAATTTTATTCTCACTACATGATTAGAGTTCGAATAACGTAATCTACATGTGTGAATTTAGATCGAAGTATTTAAAAACAATTCAAATTTAAATTTTAAAGCTGAATTAAAATACAAAATTAAGAAAAAAATATCAAATTTAGGTGTGGATTTGTATATTAACCCTACTATAAACATTTGAAAATAGTGGGGGGAAAGACTAATTGAATGTAAAAGATTCATGCCGTAAGAGCTATGCAAAGTAGCGATCATACTTTAAAATAAAAGCAGCATATTCTTCTATAAATAGATAAATAAAGATCACTTCTTTTCATGAATGGATAGTTGATTTAATTTTTCTTTCTTTTATTTTCTTTTTTTCCCTCTAGTTTCAGTTAAGTATTTACAACCTAACATTCCTAGCCCTTGAAAAGTATCGGCGGGATGATCAAAATCTAAATGAAGATATGGATACAGTCACATAACGTAAAGTTAAAAAGGGTTTATATTGATTTATGATAGTTGTGTAAATAAAATTAGATTATTAAAATTTATAAAAAAAAATAAAAAGATATTTACTAAACAACATGGAGAAAATCTTAATTATCTATTTTATACCATCCAATTATCCTAAATTAGTGTACAACTAAAAAGTTTTTACATTATATAAATAGATCAAAATATATACATATATGAGTTAGGATCTACTTATACAATATAAAACTATTTTAGTTTTACACATATTTAGGATCGTTGGATGAATCAAAAAAGACGGTTGAGATTAACTCATTGTTTTTTATCTAATAAATATCTTATTATTTCCTATTGTTAATATCAATCGTCTATTCTCATTAATTTAACTCTCGTAAATCTCGATAAAACTAAAAGGTTTTATAATATATATATTAGACAAAATATTATCAGAAATATCATTTTTTTAAATTAGACAAAATAATATTTTAAATTAAATTAAAAATATTATAAATTTATATAATTTTTTAAATTAAACAATATAATATTTTAAATTAAAAGTTAACTTTAAATCAATTTTCGTACATAATTACTCGAAATTTGTATGTCGGGAATAGGGGTGTAAACGAGCCGAATCGAGCTCGAGTATTGATGAGTTCGACTCGACTCAAACACTTTGAAATGAAACTCGACTCGAAAACTCGCGAGCTTAAAATTTTCAAACTCGACTCGAACTCGAAATCCTAAACTGAAGCTCGTGAGCAGCTCGAAAAGGCTCGAAATAAAAAAAATTCTTAAACTTAACTCGATTGAAGCCTCAAACTCAAACTCGAACATGAACCTTAAATATAAGAAATCATAATGTATTTTTTTATAAAAATATCAATACATATATATTAATATTATTAATAATTTATTTCTAAAAAAATAAAATTTTAATATATTATATTTTCGAGCTGCTCACGAGCTTTTCGAGTCGATTATCGAGTAGCTCGTTTCGGCTCGTTAAGAACTCGAGTCGAGCTCGAGCTCGAGTCGAGTTTATTCGATCCGAATATTTATCGAGCATTTATCGAGTTAATCTCGAGTAGCTCGTGATATGTCTCGTCTCATTTACAACCCTAGTCGGGAACACTATAAAATTAATAATTACTAATTAGTCAAATCATTGCCTCTCTGCGAAGCAACCAAGTCTGATGAAGCAAAACATAACAGGCAAAGTATCCTAATCTAAAAGCAAAAGAGAGAAAACAAAAAGAGAAGAGAAAAAAAATAAAAAAGAATCTGTATTTTTCACAAAAGACTATCATGTATATTTTCAGAAAGAGAATGTAAAAGAAAACATAATACTTATCATTGTTTTATATTGTTTTGTAAAATTATTTTCTTAGCATGCAATATACATTGATGGTAGAAACATATTGAGTTCACTTGTCACAATTCGATTAATGTTCGATTAAATCTATAAATTATTAAAAATCGACTCAAGGTTTTAAGAGTCGAAATGAGTTATTTAATATTTAACTCAAAAAACTTGTGAACAACTCGAAAAAATAATATATTATAATTTTATTTTTTAAATTATATTATTAATAATGTTAACAATTGTATTTTTTTAAAAACACATTATAAGATTTTTTTATGTAATTAAGGTTTAAGATTCTCCAATTTGAACTAAGCTCTAGTTTGAACTTCAATCAAACTAAATTTGAGCATATTTCAAGTTTAAATTTTTTGGAGTTTGAGTTGAACTTCAATTTTTTATTTCGAGTTCGAGACGAGTTTGAAAATTTTAAATTCGTGAATTTTTTAGTTGATTCAAGCTCAACATTAAACTTTTTAAGCCGAGTCAGATTCAACAATACTCAAACTTGACTCGTTTATGGTACTGCATCAAATAATTTGTTAAATAACAGTGTATATTTAAAACACCATCAAGGTGGGATAATTTATCCTTTAATTTTCAAATGGCAGTGAGTAACTCACCTCTTTAGTCTGATTGCGTCGCCCAAGACCTCGAAACTTTGAAAAGATAAAAGAGAAGAGATGGTTGGGCATGGAAATAGAGACAAAATTTCCTCACATTTAACCCTTTTGCAGTCTTTAAGCCACATAAAAAAACACATAAAGCTGATTAGTTTACTTTTATTGAATGTATTGCATGGAAGTAAGGGAAGTAATTCTGGGATCTCTCAAAACCCACCACCAAATTATCACTGAATAATTGAACGGAACGAACCTGAAGAGCACCACTGCTGCTCTGCCTCGGATCCTTCAAAACGCTGCTGCTTTATATGTAGTAAAAGACCAGTCAAAAAGAGGACAATGGCATTGGCATCAAAGTTAACAAAAGAATATGAGTGAGTGGTGATGAAAGATTTTGTGTTACCGTTTTCGATATGTTGTTTGCTTTCAATAATTGGTTTTCGTCTTCTCTTTAAGCTTTTTCTTTCTTTTTGGAGATGGAGAGTACTTTTTTTTAAGTGCTTACTAAGTTTGATTTTGACAGGTTGTTGCTCAATGATTGACTCAAATTTTCTGAAACAAACATCACAACTTCCTAAACGGACTCACTCTTGTCTTTTAAATTTGGTTAATAGACTGTCCAAAACATTAAAATGAAAATTGAAAAGAATGTTCAAACTCAACTCACTTCCATCTAAACAATGTTTGTTCTTTTCTTTTATTTCTTTTTCCCCTAAACAACCTGTCCATTTTTTCTTTTTCATCTTTAGTTGATAAACGACAACATCAACCTTACTGGTGATTATTGTTGTGGACATTTCTTTATTTTTCTTATCTCGTATATTTTTTTATTTTTTAATATTTTTTATGACACGATTTTCTCTACCTATATAACACGTTTCTATGACTTTTGGTATGTTTTTCAGTTTTATTTTCGATCGTTTGGTTGTTTTATCATTTATTTTTAGCATGATTAGATTTGACGTTGTCACGATTGATCAATGTGACGTTCATTTGTTATCCCACCAATCTTTCCTATTTTGGACTCTCAAATTTGATGTGGATACGCATCTTGCATCCGTATATAATTTTCTCACGATGTTTGGCTCTGATTTACGTTTATTGGTGATCTTTCTGTAGTTAAATCTTCTATTGTGGTTCGTTTGCCGTAACAGTCAGATCTTTTTGTATCTACCTATTGTTCAAGTTTTTTGGGATGAATTTTTCACCTTTTCCTTGTATGATCGTTATATGATCTTGAGTAGCTAGTTTATTGAGTTAATGGTTATGGGAAGATATGTGTTTAGTTTACAAAACTAGTTATAAACATTCATTGTCATTTTGAATATTTTTCTTTTTAATAAAATTAGTTGTTTATATTATATATATATATATATAACTCCCTTTAATCTAATTCAACTCAACGGCGCGCTTATTGTTTAAACAACAATAAACATTTGACGAGGTTACTATTATAATTGATATACACTCGTACCACAACAATTAATTTATTAATATAATGTATCTGTAAAATTATAATAATTATTTTTAGAACAACGACTGAATTTTATTAAAAAAATATAAAGAATCATAGTTACAACGCAATTTAGACATAGAAAGAAAAATAATGATTATAATCATAACAAAATCATGCATGTTAAACCTAAATATACGAAGAAAAACAAAATATTTCTTTGAAAATAAATAGCATCAGTTGGATCAAATTTGAACCTCTCATCTAAAAGACTAAAACCTAGTTCATACGAGCTGAACTTGTCCATAGGCCAGACCGTGATCTCATTTTAAAACATTTTCATAGTCCAAACCTACTCAAATGACCCATTTTACAATTCAATATATATATATATATATATATATATATATATATATATATATATATATATATATATAAACATTTTTTTTAATTTTTTGAAGTAATTATATAATTTAATTTAAATTTAAGCTAAATCGGCCCGGAAGTGAAAAAACCATTGCCTAAATTGAACCTAAATCAGGTCGGGCCAGTAGGATGGACAAGTTATTCGACCCATGAAGAGGTCTAATATGGGTCAAGCCTGCTAGATTGAAGGAGGACCTCCACCAGCGGACAGGTCTAGCCTTAAGGCCTAAACTTTTCGTTACGCAGTTGAGTAGTCAAGAAGGAAGAGTGAAGTATCAGAGATAAATTAGTCAGAAAAAAATTAAAGGATATGAACTCATATTTTGAACGATCCGATCCAACTTTGTGTTTAACAATTTTATATCCATGGAAAGATTATCGACACCTAGAGACCTGATTAAATTGATTGATTAAATGAAGTATTCGGTGCATACCAATCTTCATGACGAATAAGTCTACCATCCTCAACATATGCCTGATCAATGATATTATATCTAAAAAACTTGTATTGTTGTTTGATATGCAAAGCATGAAATTTCGAGTCACATTAACAATCAAATTGAAACAAAAGCAAAATGAAAGAAAAACTTCAAAGTTCAGACCTCCGTTAAAATTGTATTTTCCGTAACACTATATTCAACAATTATTAATTCACTAAAAAAGGAAATAAAATGTGATTATCACATCGGTAAAATGCTTTCCTCATCTATTAGAACTCATAGCATGAATGATAACATGTTTTTAACCCTCCAATTGATATATTTCTACATTTGGTCCTTAATATTTATACATTCTATCAACTTAATTTTAATTTAATTAAAAAATTACGCTCCAGTTTGCAAATCTCTTCAATTTGTTTTCTCTCCAATCAGGATGTGTCATCACATGATTGAAGGGTTAAATTTTTAATTAAATTAAAATTATGATCAAATTGATTGAATGTACAAGTATTAAAGATCAAATTATATTAATTTTATTAAATTATATTTCAGATAGTCCGTTAAATGTTAACGAAAAGTGATTTGATTGACAACATTTAAATAATCAAGTGATATGGTTGATAAAAATAAAAGATCTATGGTTAAAATAAAACTTCCACATAGTTAAATGGTCATGGTGTAGTTTACCCTTTATATAAAGGAAATAAAAGGCAGCGCGCTGACTGGAATCTGGCGGTAGTCAAAGGTTTGCGCGTGGAATTACGTCAAAAATACCGAATAGTCCTCAATTCTGGATTTGGATACATTTCGTTTCCCAATAGTACTTTAGCACGTTTTTACATTTTGTTTTTCCTATTATCTTATTTTCATCGAAGTAAAGACTATTTCTTAAAAAGCAAGTCATTTCCGAAGTTTTCAAGTAAACAAAATTCAAAAAGATCACTGCAAGTTGTCGATCGGCAATGGTGAAAGAGACGGAATACTACGATGTGTTAGGGGTGAGCCCTTCTGCTACAGAGGCGGAAATCAAGAAAGCTTATTATATCAAGGTGATTATTTCTCTATTGCTGCTAAATTAGGTCATTTTTTCCTTTCAGTTTTGAATGTTGGTAGATCCATCGGAAAACAATCTTTGATAGTAAAATCAGAGCTATCCTTACTTATGCTCATCTCTGTTCAGCTGGATTAGGTTATCTTTTTCAGATTTAGTGCTGGTAGATCCGTCTGAAAACACTCTTTGATTGTAGAATCAGAGCTAGCTAGCCTTATTCAAAGTATATACTAACCAATTTAATCTTTTTTTCTTAGATTTATTTGCTCAGTACTAAGAGTTTCCCCCTTTGTCATTCTCCATTCTTTTTTTTAATAGATCGGCATATCCTTATGCAGTTCAGCTAATGCTCCTCAGCAAATTTTGGCCTTCAACCTTTTCACTTTATGGTTCGTGGTCCTTTTAAGATGAAATCTTCACTTTGTTTATTGTATGCAGGCACGGCAGGTTCACCCGGATAAAAATCCCAATGATCCTCTAGCAGCACAAAATTTTCAGGCAAGCCTTACATTTAGCATGATCAACAGTCTGCTCCCCAAAAAATTGGTGTTCAAATGATGGCTTCTATTCTTATATAGTCTAGTAATTGTAATAATGGAAGTGGATATTTGCTTGGAGGGATGTCTTCCCTTTACCTGCTAATAATGTTTCAGCACCACAAACTCGCCTTACTGCCAAATGCTGCAGACTGGCATTACTAAATCAGTGTCTTTTTTTTTACTTTAATGTTTATATGACTTTCTATATACTATTTATTTAAGAACAAAACATAGGTAAATGAAAATTGTCATGAGGACCATTAATATCTATACAGTTTTTTAGGCTTATGTAAATAGCTGTTCCATATCAGGTACCTCCTCCATAAGTTGTGTGCTTTGTAGTCTTGAGAAATAATTTTTCACTTTAAACTTCAAAATGAAGTTCAATTTTGCCATAGCTTCTTTTCAGGACCTTGCCTCAAAATTTTTATTTGCTTGTTGGATCCAGACCTAATCACATTCATCATTGCGCCATGAATCGTTTAGTTGTCTGCTATTTTTTTAAAACTCTTTGAAGCTGTTTGGGTAAAGAATAATGATCTTTTACCGGAATCTCAGTGTTCTTGTGGAACAGTGAGAATAAACCTAAACCCTTTCACAGTTCACACCATACGAGGTTAGCAGTATGAATTATGTTATCTTTAATATGCTTTAATTAGGACCACACCGACGTATCCTTAGTAAGAGGAAAAAAGGAGACAAAAATTGATTAACTATACAGTTATATAGACAGTCTTTTGAGCATTGTGTCAGGTACAAACTGCTTCAGTTTCCATCCTTATTGTGTACATTGCTTCTGTTCTTTACCTCAACATTGGTTAGATCTTTAAAGCTGTTTAAAGCTATTTGGGTAAAGAATAATGATCTTTTATCGGAATCTCAGTGTTCTTGTGGAACAGTGAGAATAAACCTAAACCCTTTCACAGTTCACACCATACGAGGTTAGCGGTATGAATTATATTATCTTTAATATGCTTTAATTAGGACCACACCGACGTATCCTTAGTAAGAGGAAAAAGGGACAATTTTTTTTAACTATACAGTTATATAGACAGTCTTTTGAGCATTGTGTCAGGTACAAACTGCTTCAGTTTCTATCTTTATTGTGTACATTGCTTCTGTTCTTTACCTCAATATTGGTTAGATCTTTCTGGTGAGTTCTTATTTTTTAAGTTCTACTCAGGTGTTGGGTGAGGCCTACCAAGTATTAAGTGATCCGACACAACGACAAGCATATGATGCTTATGGGAAATCAGGAATTTCAACGTTAGTTTCCTATTCTAAGTCTATTAATATATATATATAATCTCTAGGTTCATAGGTTGTCAATTTTTCTTAAAGAAGTGTGATATTCTTTCCATGGATTTTAATTTGTTGTTTTTTGTAACCTGCAGTGAAGCAATTATTGATCCTGCAGCAATATTTGCAATGCTTTTTGGTAGTGAGCTTTTTGAGGAATATATAGGGCAGCTTGCTATGGCATCAATGGCCTCGCTGGACATTTCTATGGAAGAGGGGCAATTTGATACTAAAAAGTTACAGGAGAAAATGAAGGTCAAAGTTCTTGTTTATGCATGTAGAAGATAGACACTTGTACAAAGAATTTCAATTTTGATAGCGTGAATATTTGACGGAAGAAATAGAGCAAATGAAGTCTTAGTTCAATAAACTATGAATTATTTTTTGCTTTATAGTAACTCCTCTTATTGTTTGAACCTAGGAAATCTTGTGGAGAGGAGCAAAACTAGCTTGGACTTTACAAGTTTCCCAAAAAAAAAACCCTTAAACATGTTCACCCACTTCTTCTGTAACTTTTAAGATAAATATATATTTGGGTGGGGGGTGGTGGAATGTATCTATCTTCTGAAAAGACAAACAGGCCTTTCTATCTCAGTTGATCTAGGTTTGAACGGTTTGGGAAATTATTTTGTTGAATAAGTTATTAATTACGGAATTGGATTTTTAATAATAGAATTATTTTTCTTATTTTCATTGCTAGTGAGGTGCTACTGGAAGTCATTATTACGATCCCGTAGCTTCTACCTTTTTGTTCTTGACCTCCTTACAAGATTTTGCTGAAAACAGGAAAACTAAAAAGAGGCAGGTGTTAAAAAGTTTAATTTTATCCTGTATTATTTTATTTAATGTCAGCATTTATAAGGCAATGCATATCTTCGAGTATTAAGACATTTTTATCAACTTACAGTTGATAAATTATTCTTAGTATCATGATGGATTGTTGGTTTGATGTAGCTAGAAAGATTTTATTCCTTAGTGTTGACTTCTTTTACCTACTGATAAAATATTATCCCCGGCAATTGCTTAGTATGGTCGCTTGAATCCCATATAACACCATAGATATCTTTATATAAATTTCTTGGTGCAAAATGTTTCTGTCTACAGGTTGTTCAAAAGGAAAGAGAAGAGAAACTTGCACAAATACTGAAAGATCGACTAAATCAATATGTGCAAGGAAACAAAGAGGACTTTGTTAATCATGCAAAAGCTGAGGTATCAAGGCTCTCTAATGCAGGTAGTATTTCCTGTTCTCTGAAAATTGGAAATCATTTTTCATCTTGTTGGATGAATTTCTACATGTAAACAACTAAACATCTTCATGATTCTTCACCGTTCATTTTATTTGGCCTTCTGAAATGATTGCATTAATGACAAAAGTGAGCAGTCATCAACACCAAATTGAAGATTAAACCGAAGTTCTGTATATTCTTGAATATTAATCTGTTTTTCTTGTTGAAATCAGTTTAAGCTTGCATTTAGGTTCCAATTTTAATTTGCCTGGAGATGGGAAATTCTAAAATTAGATTATTTAATCTATTTTGTGAATTTTTCAAATGGCTTTCCGATTTGAAAAACCCTTATATGCAATACACATGGGGCAATTTTAGTGCCATTCAGTGTAAACTTAGTCACTATTGGGGTTCTTTGATATAAGTTTCTAAATTGGTGATTGAAAATGGCTGCTGAAGCATGCTCACAAATTTTAATTTAGGATAGCAATATCTGCTTTGCATGCCTTGGAAATCTTTTCCTCGTTATCTTTATTTTTGTTGGATGTTTGATTGTATAATTTTTTTTGATAAGAGTTTGATTGTATAATTGATTTTCAGTATTGACTGATTTGCTGTACATGTTTTACAGCCTATGGTGTTGATATGTTGAATACAATTGGTTATATATATGTAAGACAAGCAGCAAAAGAGCTTGGGAAGAAAGCGATATACTTGGGTGTGCCATTCATTGCCGAGTGGTTTAGAGTCAAAGGCCATTCTTTTAAATCCCAAGTAACAGCAGCAACAGGTGAGTAAACTGCTGCTAACTTTGATGATTAGTACACAATGATCTGTTTTTTTTATAACTCTTTGATTTTGTACTGCTGTTTGATCAATGATGTGTCTTTTATTCAATCCTTAACAAGAATAAAATCAATTGCACTTTTAATGTTTCTTGTAAATAAGAATTGTTGTGGAAAGAATTGTTGTGCTCAATCACTTTTTAGCCTTCTTGGTTTAGGTGCAATTGCTTTGCTTCAGCTTCAGGAGGATATGAAGAAGCAGCTTAATGCAGAAGGAAACTACACTGAGGAGGAGCTTGAAGAGTACATGCAATCTAACAAGAAGCTGATGATTGATTCTTTATGGAAGCTTAACGTAGCTGACATAGAATCTACTCTTTCTAGTGTTTGTCAAATGGTTGTTTCATTTGTCTCTTCTTTTATGGCTATTAGATGACACTGATTTAGTTATTTGTTGTATATTCCCAGTAATCTATCAAACATTTGTTTTAGGTTCTCCAAGATGGCAATTGCAGAAGGGAAGAGCTTCGAGCACGAGCAAAAGGGTTGAAAACTCTGGGTAAACTCTTCCAGGTATGCATTTCTTTTCCTCTTTATTAATTTGAAATCTTCATGAAAATGCTATGGTATGGTGTAGAGGGCCAAGTCTTCCGATGGAAGTGAGAGTGAACCTGTTATAGGCAGTAGTGCTGTTCATACATTGGATGGAAATGAACCAAGCCATGACGGCAGTTCTCTTAATGCATCATCAGTGTCTTTAAACCAGGAAGAGTTATCTCGTTCTACATTTGCATCACAGGTATGATTATTATGCAGGTCAATAAACTCTTTGTTTTATCCATGTGAACATGGGCCTTTTTGTGCAGATGGCGTTATAACTGTTCTAGATTAGCTGTTACTTACCTGTGATATAAGCAGGCTGGCAAAAGTATTTTGATTTCATAGTTTTTGATTACTTTGGTTATGTTTAGAGAATCTGGGATTGATCTTAAGATATATGGAGGAGACCGTGAAGATCTTTCATCTGATATTATCATGTGGTGTGTTTAATAATCACTCATGCTGCAATAAATGGCTACACCAAAGCTGGGATTCGATTTGAATTTGTTTGTGAGAGAGAAATAGTAATGTTCAGATTTTTCTTCACACGACCTTCAATTTTTTAACTCAAAATACTGAACCAAAGTAAATTTAAAGCACTACATAAGATGTGGTGTCTGGGTTCTTATGTTCAAAACAGACAGATTGAAATTATTTTTTTTCCAGAAAGACCCTGAATATGCCACTTTTTCGTTTGGTAGGAGATGGTAAAGAAGGTGAATGCTAGAGAATCACAAATGTTCTTTCTCATCCATGTTACTACCGTTCTTACGTGGTTTAACTATTAAAAAAAAAGTACACTTTTTTCTGACTATTAGAAGCATTGAAATTGTAGAGTCCGTACGTGGAAGCCCCCAACTTCGTGGATACTCAGTTCACCTTCAACTTTCCAAGGCCAACAGCACCACCTGGTGCACAAAGGACATTCTTGAATTAGCCAAGGTTGAGATGGTTCATCCCTAAAGGTGCATGATTTGTATTCGTGGATGCAGCTATCACAGGTATTTGTGAATGTCATGTCATTTGTGTACGCATGCCAGTCTCTGGGTGGTCTGATCATTGTTTGTTATTGTGTTTAATATATTTATGAAAGATTAGATCTATATGCATAGAGTGAAAGAAAGATGGCTGTAGAATATTGTTGTTTGCATTTCACAGGTTGTGACTGAGATATTACCTTCTTGCCTGCCTCTTTTTTTTAGTAGTTCGTTTTGCATTTGTTGTGTTGTGGTTTTAGAATGTAAATTAGTGATACACACACCTATTTCTCTCTCTCTCTCTCTCTCTTTTTGTGTGTGTTTGAAATAAAGTATTTGGTTTCAGATATTGGCAACACTGTATACAATGATGGTACTAGCAAACATTATTCATACAATAGCGTAGAGTCAAGATATATCGTATTTATATATGTTATAAAATGGTTTTATATATTTATTTTTTCGATTCTTTTAGATGAGTTTTTTCTTTCTTTCTTTCTTTTAATTAAGCAAGCATTTAATTTTTTTATCTAATTATGTCTTAATTTTTTTTTATCTAATGATGCTAACATCGTTCTCGTGTTTATTTTTATTTATTTTATTTCTTTATCTAATGATGTTAAAAGTTTTCGTTACTTTTTAATATGAATGTGAACGGGGCCTTTTTTATATCTAAATATCACCTTTTAAAAATAATTTTTTTTCTGATTAGTCTGAGGCGATTATAAGGTAGTATTTATTTGAAAAACTCTCAGTCAATTGACAACAACAATAATCTCTTGTTCACCAAAATCATTTGATATATGTTTAAATAGGGACTCATTTGTTATAGATTTAAGAAATTAAAATTATAAATTTAAATGAATTTGTTATAAACTTAAGAAAATTTAATGAATTTATTATTATAAACTTGAGAAAATTTAAATTGTGAGATGCTTCCGCTCAAATTAACATAATAACATTTTTCATACTAATCTTTTATGGTATTTAATCAATTTTTAGTTGCGGTGAGGTTTTTAAATGTAATATGGAGTTAATATAATCACTTTTTTTAGCCTGTTAAAACATTTAATCGATTTTGGTGGTAATCTTTCGATACATTTTGCTATTTTTCGAACTTGTAAAGTTTTTTCAACTTTCAAAACTGTTAAAAATTACGTAGGAACTCTTAATTCTAAACTGACATAAAAATTAAGCAATACGACTCTTCATTTTACTTGATAAGACAAATAGTCCATCGTTATCACAGTTCTATCTTTATATTAGAATTTTTACGCTCTTAATCATTTTAAAAATACCTCTATAATCTCTAATTGTTGAGGAATAAAGTTGGAGTCGGTGACTCCTGGGGGAGTCCAAAGAGATGAAAATAGGTTACCTTCCTTTTTTTCAGAAGAAGAAATAGTTGAAAATTACAATGCAATACATATCTCTTTCAAGTTTCTGATAGAGGTTAAGTGGTGATGAATGAAACCTTTGGTGAAACTCATCTGTATTTAATTAATTATTATATGTAGTATATGAGCATTTTACTTATCGATTTATTGAATTCAATTCATGGTAATTATATGGAATCTGTAAGTGAGAAAAGAATCAAAAGTGAGAACAATATAAATAAGATTTGTGCCAGAGATAAAATTTAATATGATTCGATTTTATTTACCTTTACAAATATGTACCAAAATACACTCTTTTAATATCCTTACAAAATCATCTTTGTAATCTAAAGTCCAAAAAATTACAAAGACTACAATTTTTTTCAAAAATAAATCGCTTTCCTAATTCGAAAGATTGAGACATATAATTTGTTTATAAAGTTAAATACTTGGTCACCAAGATCTATATAAATAAATTAAAAAATTATTAGTAGAAAAAATGGTAAATAGACGTGAAACCATCATGAACATAATCTACTTGATGTTAATATTAAACATGTTCAACTTGCCGTAAGTACATGGCTTTGATTTTCTTCAACCTCGCAACTTCTTCAATATCAATCCTCTCCTCTGCTATGTCGGCCGAACATTGCAGGGCTAATTGCAGAATGGAAGATAGGCTATCCTTTACTGCTAATCGCTGCTCTCTTTCACCTGTGTTTAGCAAATTATTGTCCATAACATGCAAATGGTAATGATTCCTTCACCCAACATTTTAGGCTCATTTCTTCCGCAAACATGTCGTTTGTTGGTTTCTTCCCTGTGAAAGTTTCCATGCCAAGAATCCCGAAACTATACACAACACATTTTGTAGAAACAATTCCTTCTGAACCGTATTCTGTATAAGAATCGGAATCGTCTGAAAATAATCTCAAGGCAAATGCATGTCTATATAAGTAGAAATACTAATTTGCATTACCTGGTGACATATAACCTATGGTTGATAGCGTCTTGGTTTATGTCATTAAATCTTCTTCACCCAAGAGTTTTGCAATGCCAAAATCACCCAGGTGTGCGACCATGCTTTTGTCTAGCAGGATATTGTTCGGCTTTAGATCGCAGTGAACTACGGGTGGGGTATGATCATGGTGGAGATATTCCAGTGCCAATGCGATATCGATCATTATGTTCAGCCTTTTCGAAATATCCAGAAAAAGGTTATGAGAATATAGCCACTTCTCCAAGCTTCCATTGGACTTGAACTCGAGTACCAAGGCTTTGAATTCCATATTAGAGCAACTAATGATTTTAACCAAATTTCGATGACGGATGTTGCGGAGTACCTCGCACTCGACATCGAAGCTTTTAAGGGCTCTCTATCTTGATTCATATTGAATACTTTTACTGCAATGGTCATCCCGGTTGGGAGAGTCCCTTGGTATACTGACCCAAAACTCCCTGCTCCAATTAAATTGCTTTCGGAAAATCCATCAGTAGCTTCATGGAGCTCATGGTAAGAAACCCTTCTCCATTCAGCCAATGGTAGCAAATTTTCTTGAATTCGCGCTTTGTCTTTCCTACTTCGACATCGTAAAAGGACGATAATCATCGTCGATATTAATATTGGTGAGCCGATTGCAGGAAGGATATATATTAAAAGCTTGGAACTCCCGGCCCTCATATAGGGATCATCAGTTCTGCACGGTGGGACTTGAAATTGTGGTGAACCACACAACTCTTCATTGCCTATGAATGATTGGCTTGAGTAGTTCCCGAACGATCCTCCATTCGGAACTCCCCCTTGTAGTCTATTGAAAGAGACATTCAAATACTTGAGATTTTGGAGATTCTCTAATGACTTCGGGATCGGTCCCGAGAGGTTGTTCCTCGACAAATCCAAGTACTCCAAACTTATCAACTCATCAAAAGACTGTGGAACAGAACCCTGCAGCATGTTACCAGATAAGGATAGATGAGTTGGGTGCATGAAACCAGCAATGGTGCTTGGGATAGCACCGGAGAACAGATTATCGGACAAATTCAAATTGGTCACAGACTTCCAGTTCCCAATATCAACTGGGAGAGAACCAGTTAGGGAATTTGAAGATACTCCAGGAACAAGATACCATTTAGTCTCGCCAAGGTCGATGGAATTGAGGTAAACTTATTCGAGCCTAAGAACAGATTTCTCAGAGAAACAACATCACCTAAGCATGCTGGTATTGGTCCAGATAGTTCATTATCCGTGAGAGTCAAGTAAGCCAACCTCTGCAGACGACATAACTCCGACAGGATCGATCCGTGTAGCTTATTACTCCCAAGGTTAACATTTTGAAGCTCTCTCAAATTTCCAGGTGTTGCAGGCATTGTTCCAGTAAACACATTGTGATCGAGCCCCAACCAAAACAGTAGGCTTAAGTTTCCTATTTTGCTTGGGATCCATCCCTTAATGCTGCAATGAGAAGCATAGAAAAAGGATACAGAAGCAGATAAATTCTCCACAGAAACCAGAAGTTCACCGCTGATCAATGGATTATCATCAAATATCACAACTTTCTAGTCTTTACAGTTTGTCAACGATGAGAGAAAGCTCAATTCAGGGTCGCTACTTAAATTGTTATGCCCTATGTCGAATCTTTGCAGATCTTTTAGATTGCCAAACGTGTTTGGAACAATTCCGAAAAGGAATTTTTCGGTAGCTGAAGATTAATAAGCTTAGAGGCATTGGAGATGGAACTGGGGATCGGTCCACTTAGTTGATTTAGCTCAAGATAAAGCCCTTCGAGTTTCGGAAGTCCATGGCCTGTAACTGGTGGAAGCTGGCCTGAGAGTAGATTGAAACCAAGCCAAATAACTCTTGTAGTAGACATGTTAAAGATCGAAGGGGGGATGAAACCAGTGAAATTATTATGTCCCAAATATAAGACTTCTAGATTCTGTAGGTTTCCTACCTGAAATGCAAGTGTATCTGTCATAATAAGGAAAATAATCACTCATTAATCAAATAATAGAGGTAGAGGGAAAGGGTTGTTTGGGTTTGAACACGATATCCAGCAGGGATGAACAGAGGGAGACTGGCAGGGCGGTCGTCCTGATATCTGGTGTCAAGAAAGACTTAAAACAAAGCAAACCATTTACAGCTATACTATACCTGATAAGCTATTACAGGAAAAATCAAGGAAACTCAGAAATGTTAAGTTCCCAATACTTGAAGGCACAGGCCCTGTTAAGTTGTTTCCAGAAAAGCTAAGCATCTCTAAGTTCAGAAGATCACCGATCGTCCCGGGATTTGACCTGCAAAAAGACAAAAAACAAAACTTGTGGGTAAGAAAAAGAATTGCAGAAACATGTCTTGAAATATAAATTGTGGAAAATGGAACCTGAAAGCAGGTTAGTTTCCAAAGACAATATCTTCAAGGTGGAAATGTTTCCAATCCTGACAGGAATCTGGCCTTGCAGATTGTTTCTGTTCAAACTCAAAATTTCTAGCTTTGGTAAATAGCACAGAGACGATGGGATTAAACCAGAGAAGTTGTTTCCAAATAAGTACAAGGTTCGAAGACGAGTGAATGAAGAACCAAACCACGAAGGGATTTCCCCACTGATTTCATTGTTTTCCAAGTTCATGTGGTTCAACCGACGCAGATTAGCCGATTGGTTTGGTAATGTGCCATGGAAACTATTATTAACAATGGTGAAGCTTGACAAGAAAGATAGATTTCCCAGGTCCGGTGGGATGGTGCCTACCAGAGTCATGCCTGTGAGATTTAGAGCCGTGACCCTTAGTCCCTAACGTTCATGGATCCGCAAGTGACACCGATCCAACTGCAGCCAGACGTGGTGATAGACCAGTTGGTTGCTAAGAGATTTCGAGGGTCTGAAGTTATACGAGATTTCAATACCAGAAGAGCAGATTAATCTGTGGTTATGTCGGGTGGTTGAGTTGATGAAGAAGAAACAAAATCACAACTATGAGGAGCATGGAGCGAGTATTTCTCATTTCATGAAGGATTTGAAATGATCAGCAAAATGAAGCGATCTTTCTTTTTAGAGAATTTAAGTTGCATGTACGACGTTATCTGTTAGAATGTGGCTTGAATTTCCAGGCCTTCAAATTTGTCAAATTGGCAGGCATCAAACGTCAAAGATGACTGACCCGAATGGAGAAAGACACGGCTTCGATTTTTGCAAGTTGTGCAACTGGTAAAATTGTCGATGTGATAATTTTGTTTTGATCCCTAAATTAATAGGTTATTTATAAGTTGATCCATAAAAGCTCAACTATAAATAGTCCAATCATCTGTCATTGAAAACCATCCCAAAATCATTCCACCATTTGTTTTATTTTCTCCCCTTTGAAATATTTAGAAATTCTTAAGGAGTTTCCTTCATTTGTAATATTTTGATAAGAATAAAGTCATCTGACAGTGATGCTCAAAAAGTAAAAAATATTTAGTTGTCAATTTAATATATTCTTTCTATTATTTATTTATTTTGTTCATTATCAGATTTTTCTTCTTATTTTAATATGTAGTAGTTTAACATATTTGTATGCTATACATTACAGTAATTTCAAATTTTGAAATGATATTCGTTTAAGAAATAATCTGATTTTCTCAACAATTGGCATTTGATTATCGATGATGGTAATTGTTCTATTACTAAAAAAACTAATGTCGTATTGCTCGAACGTATGTCTAGCGAAGTTTTGACTAGGAACAAAATACTAATATTTTAGTGGTCTTTGTGAGAACTTACCTAATACATTGTTCTCGAACTATATTTACTATCCAATATGTACTGATGAATACTGTTTGTTGGCGTAATGGCATCAAATTTTGGATGAAATGAGACACCAAGCTCTGGTATGTTCATTTTTCTCCAACTATAAATCAATTCTAACCATCACTACACCAATTTGATTTCAATATTTCCGATTTTTCATTAATTACACCTTCCCTATCTTAACGAAGCACGGATGAATTGCATAGCTGTAGTCGGGAATATTTCATCATCAGTTAAAAGCAAACTGATATTTTTGTTCTTAATCAAGAAATAAAGAAGAATAAAAATGTTTAAATTTGGGTCATAAATTTTAATTTGATCAATATAATTGAGAAATTGTATACACTTTTACACTAATGAATGTAGATATCTCCCCTCTGTATAAACATATTGTGGGGTGGTATGACTATGAAATATGAGGTATCAGTTTGCCAAAAGATGCTTACAGAAACAACAGCAATGGATACTGATTGATGAGAGAGAGAAAAGGTTTTTCCATTTTCAGCTAACAACACGGCAACTTTCTCTCTCAAGAACCAGTAGGTAAGGAAATATAGTGGCTGCATGTGGCCCATAATATTTAGAAAATATAGCACTCACTCGATTTATGTTGTTGACAGCAGTGCAATCACCCAAGGCTAACTCAATTGATGAAAGCTTAACTAATTCATTTCCAATTGCAATGTGATTGGACCCATATAGCATTTCCAGTATCTGCAACCAATAACAAAACTATGAAAATCTTATTTGGGCATCCTTAATCGACTTTATCATTACCCGAATGACTAAAATTCATCGAGAGCTTTCAAATTTCAGTAGATAATGGGAAACGGTGATCCTCCTAACCTTGTGATATGATTCCTGGAATCTTAAGTGTGTGAAGTAGTTTATGCATACACACCACCATATGAATTCTTAAACTAGTAAACAGTTACCTCAATCGATGATTTACAATGGACTTTAGCTATCTGAAAATCTCCAATAAAACAAAATGCCTTTGCCAGAATGTCTTCTGCCTGCAAAAGACAATGTCATAGGTGGTTACATCTCGTATTACTGTCCCGGTAACTCTTACAAAACTCACATTGGCTGCACAGAAGGTGTTAATAACTAGTCGATGGAACTTACTTCTGCAATGCCTTTGTTATAAGCATGCAATACTGATCTTAAAATACAAAGAGATCTCAAGGCATCAGGGAGACTAGTACTGCACATATCTTTGGAAGCTATCGAATCCTGCAATCTATTGAGCAATGAACACACAGTAGGTAAAACATATATGCTTCTCCGCAGCTGGACAGTATATGTTACAACATAATTCTAAATGAATGCGAAAAGTACACATAGAATCAAAGATGATAATCCTAATGAGATATTTTTAAAAATAACAAGATACAGAAAAAATATATATTATAAAAACTCATGAACAAAAGCTTAGTACAGATTAACTGTGTACCTTCTGAGATCAATCCAAGCTTTTTTAACTTCTTCACTCCTAGATGAAAAGTTGCAATAGGAACCACATTTCAAACAATACCCGGGATCAATATGGAGAGAACTATGTGTTTGATCAAGTGATATGTGAGCCACTTTCTTGACGTCAGAATCATCTGACTCGTATACCTGGAGATAGAATGACAAAGTTACATGATCTATCTGATTAACTCTACAGAAACCAACAAAATAATACCCCATAAATAGTTGATAAACTAAATAGTAATATTCACAAAAGTAAAACGTGCTTTAGTTCAGTTCTTACAAAAAGTACATTAATTAATCAAGTAAAATTCATTCTGCCAGCATTATTCATCTTTTATTAGAAGAAGTTGAATTTTAATTAGACTTTCTCTTAACCATTCATAAATAGGACTTTTAAAAAAATATTTTATTAAAAATTTAGCATAAATTCGAAGGTTGAAAATCTTGTGGTGGAGTAGCTAGTCTGTAGTCATTCTTCTACTGTATAGATGATGCTTACTAAATTGCACCAAGAAAAACTGAAGTACCTGCAAATGAGACTCGTTGCTGATTGTTTCTAGAATGTTAGGTTTCTTCTTCTCACAGTTAGCCACAAGATTATCTAAAACCACTCCAGAACAATTTGGATTAACACAACAAAATCCACTAATTACAAGATCAGATACATTCACTTTGGAACAACCACGACACCAACATCGAAAAAAGTACTCTTCTTCAAGAAATCTAAGGCGGTCTTTGCAGTCCCATTGCCCAACCTGTATAATTGAACTCTAAATTAAGGAAATTGATCTTGCCTTGTTTGCAAAAGATTAGATGTAACACAACTCTGGAGAAGTAACATCACCATTCCCCTACAAGAAGGATGTGTGTAAGAGAGAATACCTGAGGTCCATAAGACAATTCCAGGGGACAACCACCAGCTACAAATTCTGTTGTTCGTAGTAAGAGTGAACGCGAAATATAATATGCATGAATGTTTGGTTTGCAGGAATGGTTGAACAAACTGGCAGCTCTGTAAAGAGCCTGACCTACTCTGACCTGGGGAAAACATAAACTAATGAAAAGATTGCACATGTTCAGTACAAAATCAAACTATAAAGGTATCAATTAATGCAAAGCAAGTGAGAATTAGTGAGAATGTTTCCTGATGGGTGTCATGGTACAGTTTGGAAGGAACTTTTTTAAACCAAACTGAAGTCTAGTTCCCGAAATTGAAACTAAAAACAAAGACCAAATTATTTCTCCAAATTAAATAAATAAATAACGCACACTTTTTGCTTTGGTTTGTATACTACTGACTACATCCACAAATACCCACTGATATTTTTTATGCCTACAGTATCCAAAATTTTAAAAAAGAATGTCCAAAAATAGATTGGAGCTCCTTGATATGTGATGTATTGTTATATTTCAATTCCACGGTGCAAACAAAATAAAGCAAGCTGCAGTGCAGAAGTCCTTGTCTCCATATTTTTACGAAAAACATGTGTACCTAAATATTTGGACCTTGGCAACTCATTACAATAAACTAGCCTAAACAAATCTAAGAAGCCATTGATCAATCAGATCAAGTCATTCCTAGAGATGTAAGAATGGACTTAACACCGCATTACAGTTCATCATTCGGAATGCCAAGAAAAGAAAGGAGATATAATTAAAAATCCCTTAAACTCTCAACTCTTAGAGAAACTGAGCATAATTGCACTGGGCACATACCCAATCTGACACATAGCTTTCAACTACTTGCAACATCATTGCAAAGGATATTGAAGGTAAGGAATGAAAAGCAGGTTGTTAAAGAATATGACAAACACGGGAAAAGAAGCACAAAATAGGAAAAATTAAAAGCATACAATAAAACAAACCTGTTCCACACTACTAGCTACATCTGCCTCACCAGAGGATAACTTTTGAAACCAATCTTGCTGGTCATGAAAATCATTGGATTTCATACGGACAATTGCCATAGAATTCACTCTAATTTGAGATAGAAGTATGACAATCTGCATATGAATCAGAAAACAGATCCCAATGATTAGCGAAGATCAGTTATGCAGTAAAGGAAATGAAGCCATATGAACAGCACAAACATCCAAAGTAAGAAGTCTTTGGGTGGGGCCAAAAGTTTGCAAAACACTTGTATCAATCTGAAACTACACGGATATCTGATGCAGAACTTCATTGTTGGATGGAAAAAATGGGAAATTCTGAGACATAAAGACATCTTAAAAGGGTGATGTGACTACAACGGATATGCATCAAAAACTTGAATCGCAATAACAAAATCATTAACGTGTTGAAAATTTATATACAGAGTCCTGGTTATTGAAAGCATTGAACATATGAATAGCATATATGACTATATGAGAGAGAGAGAGAGAGAATGGATTAAATCTTTCAAGTATTTTTATGGTTTTGTTTGATTTTTCACTAAGACCTTGCACATCAGCCATATTGACCAAGTGAAGAGAGGTAACATGGGTTAAAATCATGTCAAGCAAAAACCTTGACGAAGAATGTATAGAAAAGTCTTTACCTATCTCCTAGGAATATATCAAAATAAAGCTAGCTCCAAGAAGCTCCACATTATGCAAAAAGGATTACATCCCTTCTATTGCTTCCTGAATTGTTTGGGAATGGATTATCCTCCGGTTTTTATTTATTTATTTTTTAGGGTTTGATTCAGATTTAAACAGAACGAAACTTTAAGTCTCAGTTTCACTCCTAAGGTGAACATAATCAAGCATTAAAAAGACAATTACAAGAGGTTAGAGGGTACAGTAACACTATACTTGATGTTAGTAAGAAAAAGATGGAGATTGTAGTACAATTTCTCATCAAATATAAATGGATATCACAGAAAGAATGATAGAGGACCTGTGATGTAGAGTTCCCATTAATTGACATCTCAGAACTGTACGAGCGTTGGAGACAAAATAACAATACAATGGAATATATATGTAGTTCCAATTTGCTTTCTGGTAGCATTTTTGAATAACTCTCACAAAGCCCCTACAAGGAGAAAAATTACAGGCCATAAGCTGGAATATCAGCCCTTGACATTAGTTATCCATTACAGAATTAAACCCACATTAAACTCGAAGAATATACCAAAAATTCTGAAAGATTAGGAACATCAGTAAATTTTCCTTTCTGCTCCATGGATTTCACTACTACTCGACCAGCCAGAACTACATCAGAAGGCAATATTGCAGGCCAGTGCACACCTTGACATTCATGTTTATGTTCTGATATGTGGTTAAGTTTTGGATCGCAATCGCTGCCTCCAGTTATATCTGGATACTCTTCATTACAGTTGGGCTTCTTTTTGTGGATGTTAATTTTACTAGAATAATTTACATGTATTTGTCCACCTGCTTGCATTTGGCAATGCTGGGAACAGTACAATGGCAGCGAACATGAAACACAGGGAATTGTATCTGGTGGTAGTTCATTCAAGCAATAATGGCAATGGGTTTCCCTGTACTGCTTCAAAATGACCTGCATGTAGTATGGTCAAGTAAAAAGTTATATTCCCCATTACCAGAACTGGAAGTTTCCACAACCAAAGGATGAACTGAAGCAAGAAAACATCATAGTTAAGCATATAGATAAAACACAGGTTATTTTACAGCCTCATGTGGTGCAACAAACCCCACTCATGCTCAAACGAAAGAGAAAGAACATCTCAGCAGATGTAAGCCTGGCCTGGATCTTTTAGTACAATTTTCTTCACCTCGTTCTAAGCCCTAAACTCTTTGTTTTTTTTTTTTTTTGATAGAAGTAGGAGGTCTCATTAAAAAACCCCTTCATAGTTGTCCCATACCACAAGGGGAAAGGAACAACTAGCGGAAGGAGGAAAAGTGTACCTCAATTTTATTAAAAACCCAAAGAAAGACAATGTTCCTTGTACAATACCAGAACTACTGCCCTCTAAATACAATTAGAGCACCCCGAAATGCCCTATAATTCACCCAATCCCTTCTTTAGCCAATTTGTCAGCCTCCCAGTTAATACATCTAGGAATCAGCCTAAGGATTATCTCCCTAATCTTTACAAGGGTCTCTATTTCCTTAACTAGGTTGATAAAACAGGTAGGGACAGGAGTAAACAAATTTATCCAACCCACTACAATTTTACAGTTACTTTCCACGATCAATCTACCCTTAGCTGCCCAAATAGAGGAGAAGAAGAACTCAATGCCTTTTCTAATCGCCTTCAACTCAGCCATCAGGGGAGGACGAGGGCCGATGTGTTCTGAAAAAGAGTCTAGAGTGACGTTATAAGAGTCTCTTAAAATGCCCCCAATACCCCCAGCCAACCAATCCTTCCGTACTGCACCATCAACATTCAGTTTGTAAAAAACCACCGGTGGAGGGAGCCATCTCTGCAATGGCCAACACTCAACCCCTTTGTTCGGGAGCTTGTCTACTAAGGAGGGCTCACCAATCAGCGAGTCCACCAAGATGGAAACTTGAGGGAACTTGGCCAAAAACCACTTAACCAATCTGAATCTAATGATAAAGAAAAGAGAAGCCCTATCTAGTTCCCGTTTATCACTAACTTATGAAATGCATACAAACATGCAACAACAGTCTCTCATTTGAGTTTCAATTTCAGTTTTTCACATCAAGAGAACAGGACATTATATCTACGTATGTATCACATGTGGACGACTAGAGCTCAGTAAAGTACAATGAATTGAATCAAGGGGAGATTAAGCACAATAATTCCCTAAATCCATATAATAGTGTATCAAAGTAAACCAGTTATATCATTCAAACCTTAGGTAATAAAGTTAAGGAATTAAATGTACCCAAAATATAAAGTTAAGGAATTAAATCATTAAACGTAACAAAAATATAAAGTTGAGGAATTAAATATCATTAAGTAGTAAACTGAAATGCTCAAACAGTGGTGGATACCAACCAGTATAATTATACAAAGTGAAAAGAAGCAAAGAGGACACTGAACATGGAATTAAGCAAACTATTACAGAGAAAATAAGAACATTCTTAATTACTCATTAAGCAATGCCTACTCAAATTTAAAACCATTTAAAATCAAATGATAAAATAAACAATAACACGTATAAATAATAATATAATAGATTCATACCACAGCATAAGGTTCTTCGGTATGAATCAAGGAAGCTTCAGGAATGTCAAATTGTGAAATCATTCCCCTTCCTTTGTCTGCTGTTTCTACACACTGTAGTTTTATTTGTTGTGGCACATCTGGCAGATGATTTGTGATGTCTTAGTAATTTAACAAAGAAAAAACAAAGCATCTTGTGATACAAGTGTATATCAATAATGCAATCAACAGTAATAAAAATTAATAAAAAAATCTAACCAATCTACAAAGCCTCTGATACAGAGAGCAGTAAAACCTGCTTAAGGATTTATAAGCAAAAGAATTCTACTCTGCAAGAGATTGCAACAATTATAACAAACAAGAAAAGTATTCCAGTATTCCCAATAACTTGTCATTGTTTACTTGTTAATATCATCTTTTATATTACCACACTTTCAGGTTCAAGTAGAAATTAGAAAACGTACATGAAAAAAAAAATTAGAATGCAAGGTCCTTCAAATTACACTGAAAAAACAGTTAATAAAATGCTGATAGAAAAGGAAAATCTGTGAAAGACAAAAGGGTTGGTAATTGACGAAAATTTGAAGGTGAAAACCAGAGATACATGAGTGCCGAGCAAAGGTTACTATCTTACCTGGAATTCGTACAAATTTCTGGCTCTGGTGAACTGGTTTAGCACTTTTATTCTCATGATCATGTGCAAGTATTTCCAGTTCACTTTCTATCTGTTTCTTTCCCCCTAGAGATGTCTCCATATTCTTAGCAACAGTTAAGTCATGGACTGCATCTTTATAGTTGCCCAGTGTAGCATTTACCTTACCTCTCCTATACCACGCCTACAATAAAGAAATGTTACTGTCACCAGAAACTGCTTAGTTTGGTGGAATAAGCACAAAAAAGAAACAAAAACAATCACAAAAGGAAAGGAAAGACTGGTATATGCAACTTTGAGACAAAAAGAAAGCTATATCCGTAAAAAGAAGATAGAGGTCTTTCCATATAGTGGGGCATATACTCTCTATTTTCAAAATTCCGTTTAAGGTAAACCAGAAACTAAACTCAGTAATGGCTAGATTCCTTTGGGGTGAAGAAACAACCAAGAAACGGGTTCATTGGGTGAATTGGAGTACAGTGTGTCAACCATTTGAAGAGGGTGGCTTGGGAGTCTTGGACTTGAGTTTGGTTAATAGAGTTTTGCTTGGGAAATGGGTTTGGAAGTATGCAAATGAGAAAGACTCTCAGTGGAAAAAATTAATTTGCTGTAAGCATAATGTCAGTAATTTATCTCTGTCAATATGCAAGGTTGTTTGTCCTCAAGTTTCTTGGTTATGAAGAGGTATTCAGAATAACTATGAGAAAAAGGACGAGATAGGGGAGTGCTTGAGGTCCAATTCGAAGATCCAAGTGGGGAACGGTAGGTCAATTGATTTTTGGAATGATGTTTGGGTCAATGGATCTTCTTTAAAGATTCAATTCCCTAGGATTTTTGCTCTATCGACTAATAAAAGGGGAAAAGTGGCTGAATTGGTGGCTTTGAAAATAATGGTTGGGTTTGGAACATTCCGCTAAGGAGGAATCTTTGTGACTGGGAATTGGATCAATGGATTTCTTTAATGCTTTTGATTGATAACATAGTCCTGACTGAATATGTGGATGATTTTCTTGCGTGGTCGGGGAAAGGTGATGGTTTGTTTTCGGTTAAATCTTGTAGAATGACTATTTCAAGCAGATTTGGATGTTCTTTTCAGTGGAAGTAGTGGGTGTGGTCTGGATTGGCTCCTTCTAGAGTGGAAACTTTTCTATGCCAGATTACTCACCTGAAATTGGCGGTTAGAGTGGAACTGAAGAAAAGAGGGGTTACTCTGGAAGATGTTTTGTGTCCTTTATGTCATAAGTATGAGGAATCAATTCAACATCTTTTTATATCTAGCTCGGTTGCAGAGGAGCTGTGGAATAGATTTTTAAGGTTTTGGGATATCTCTTCAGTTTTGCCCCAAGAACCTTCTTCCCTACTTTATTCTTGGTCTTATCTAAGAGAGTATTCTACTATTTGGAAGTTTATCCCCGGAGTTGTTTTATGGTCTTTATGGAAAGCTAGGAATTCAGTGGTGTTTGAAAACTGGAAATTAGACACTTCATCTATGTTCTTCATTTCCAGAATTTAGGTTGGTTAAATGGTTTTTAGCTAAATTCCCTCATGCTAATATTAAGGTTGACTTACTAGTAGGGGATCCATCTCTTGCAGACAGATTATCTATTAAAACCTATAAAAAGAAGAAGGTTCTTTGCTGGTCTCTGCCTCCTTCTAATTTCTTTAAATTCAACGTTGATGGGGCGGTAAGAGGTGATGGGTTACAGGGTGGAATTGGAGGAGTCTTGAAAGATTCGAATTGTTCTACTTTAACCACCTTTTCTACTGCTGTGGGACCTGGTCCTCTTACGTTAGCTGAGCTGAAAGCTATTAAGCAAGGAATTGATTTATTCCTTTCTTCTGAATGGGCATTGAAGGGAAGACTAATCCTAGAGAGTGATTGTAAAACAACAGTTTATTGAATTTTGATGCCATATTCTGCCCCAACGTTTTTCAGTACTTTGGTTGGGGAAATTGGGGCCTTAGTTTTTGCTAGGGGTATTATTGTTAGAAGGATTCCTAGGAGCTGCAATTGGGAGGCAGACAAGTTAGCTAAGGAGGGGATTGGTTGATGTTTAGAGCTTTATGGTTGTTTTGGTTTGTATTTTATTTCAGGAAGTTTATTATGTAAGTTGTAATCTTATGTAATTATGGTTTATCAATAAGATGAGGTACTCTTTTCCTCCTTCAGCCAGTTGCCTCTTCCACAAGAGTCAACTAAGAGGGAGGTTTTTAATGAGACCTCCTATTTCTATCAAAAAAATATAGTGGGGCATATATATAAATTCAATGTCTCAAATCATACAAGCCGAGCTCAATTGTACAAACCCTCCTACACAAACATTATTCTAGTGTTTTACCCCTCAATCCTATTTTCCTCTTCAAAATTTCATAGCCCATTTTTCATATTTTGATATAGACAGTAACTGCTCCGAGGCCAGGGCTCCTTTTGAGAGCAAATGCAAATGAATGTGAAGGAAGAGGCCATACGTAATTATACTAATGTCAGTAATTAATTATTGAAAAGTATTGAAACTGAGCCTATGAAGATGAGTTTAATATGTACCTTAGGATAGGAAGGAGAAATTTCTAGACCCCTGTTGCAATCTCGAAGAGACTCCATAGGCAGGCCCATTTTCTAGAAAGTTGAAAACCAAAACAATGACAGTTTACAGAGATTTACATTAGATGAACGATTGAAAGTTAGGAAGAAAAAAAAATCAGAAAGTGTGTGTATAACTTACGTGAAATAAAGAAGCACGATTTAAATACAATGTGGCAACTAGATTCTTGCCAGTTTCGTAGGCGTCAATGGGAGAAAGACGAAGCGCCTGTTATTCCATATAAACCAGCAAGAGAAAGCTCAAGAAAGGGAAAATTCATTCACTATTTAGGTAAAAAGTATAAAAGAGAAGAAGAGACCTTAGAATAGCAACGCAAAGCCTGGGAGTGATCTCCAGAGGAATAGCATTGATTTCCCTTTTGCTTCAACTCCAAAGCAGCGCCCTTGTTCTTAGCACAAAGACCGGCCTGGGTCGATGGCTCTGCTGCCAACTCTGATATCAACTGGTGAAATTGTGGCAAACTGAGGAAATATTGGAGCAGTGAAGACGATAGTGAAGGAAGATCATCGATACTGCTCTCCGCCACCCTCCGCTTCAGGCTCTCCGGAACCAAACATTTAAGCTTCTCCATTTATGAACGCTGGCTCTTTCTACTGTCTGCTTCACTTCACTGCTCTATATCTTCCTTTTGTTTTTGCCTCTTGTCACTGTGACTCCTTTCTTTCGCCTAAGAACTTCAGGGTTAACTAATGTTGTCTCGCCTAAAATCAAATGGTCAAATCCCGTTATTGGTCCATGTATTATATACAAGTTTTGAATCTAGTCCATTTAATTTTTTTCATTGAAATAGTTGGTTTAACGTAATAACTAATCCCTATATTGTTAATATTAAACAAAAGAAAAATAATGAGCTGTAAAAAAAAAAATATATTCATTATAATACTCTAATAAACAAACTATATCTATTTATCTATTCATTTTCTATTCCGAATAATTAAATGAAATAAAAAAAATTACGTGGAAAAGTATAAAAAATCAATGATAATCTAAGTTAAAACAAACATTAATTAACTTAACAAACGTTTTTATTATTTAACCATCAATATTTAATTTATTAATTAATTTAGATCAAAACTTACAAAAACTATTATATTGATTTATTAATTAATTGATTTGGATCAAAACTTACAAAAGATCATTATTAAAGCGATCTTCTAGATCTAATTTACTTTATTCATAAAGTCAAGATTCGAATTTTATTTAAAGGATCTAATATTATTAGACTATAATTAGTTAATAAATGATCTTTTAACTACGATTTGTTATAGTATAAAGAAATTTTAAATTTTGTCACAACATCATTGAACATCACCGCTTCAATTTTCTTTTCCCAAAGCTTCAATGGACTGAAACAAGATCTTAGCTGAGAGCTGTAAATAGGACTCCCAAGTACAAGGCTTGAAACATTTGAATTTTGGTATAATGTGCACCCAAAGAAAAGAAAATCAATTAATTCACCATTGGTTTTATGTTCTCAACATAATGAATGATTAAAAGGGAACAATGTGTTTAGCATGATGGAAATCCTAATGTACTGATATCTACGTGAACACTCCACCAATGTAGAGATGATCCTTCACAGCTGACACGCAAAAGATTACAACAATAACAGAAATGCAGAGGAAATTCTTTCTCCAACGAAGTTTATGTAGCATAGTATCGGAGACCGCGGACAACGATAACCTCTACTCTTTATATTCATCCTAGCTTTACAGAAGCTTCTCTAACTTGGTTTACCACCCCTAAATGCTGAAAGGAAGAATGATCTTGTCCCTGAAAAAAAATGGCAAACAATGGGTTGCAATTCAAAACCACAAAACATACCATCACGGTTAAAAAATGAAATGTTATTCCAAGAAACAAAAAAAAGGAAACTGCAAGAGAGAAAAGAATATGGGAACTGACCTTTGGTCGTCGAGGCTGTGGCAGAGACGCTGCCATGCTGCACTTTGTGTGCATTAAACGTTCTGATACCTGATTGAGCTGCATACACAAAATCCACGGTACTCTCTTAATGAGATTTGTCTGCAAATATTTTGGTATTTCCCAGAAAGTTGAGCAAAGAAGAGACAGAAGCATTAAAGCAATTTTCATCTGTTCGTTTGACCTACAAACATCTAGATTCTTTAACAGTTTGACAGAAAGCATTTATGATTAAGAGAAACTATACCAGATCGAAGCTCATGAGAACTCAAATTATGGTCAAAACCATCAGACAGCAATGTCTTTTCTAGCCCATGGTTCTTTATGTTAAGGGCAACCTTTCGCATTAGGTTATCAGAATTTCTCTTATTAATAACTTTTGATTCTTCTGTGTCATCCTCTCCTTCAGAAAAGACTGATGGGCTAGACCAGCCAGTCATATTTGCATCCCCCTTACTCTTCCGAGCAAACTTTAACAGCTTCTTTAATCCCTTGGGTGCATCTTTTTGGTAAACCATTGCAGGCAGACTTTCAGCATTTCCCCATTCATTAATATAACCTTCGCTACTTTCTTCTTGCAGCATCTGCGACAGAGAGTGCCGCACCCTTGGACTTGTTGATTCAATAGGTGCTATGCCAGCTGAAGACGTAATTTCAGCCGCTTTCTCATCACATATGTTAGGCAGGTTCTGGAGCTCTTCTTTTTCCATTCAAGCAGTTGGCGAGATGGTTGATTCTTCCTCACATTGGGAAGACCCTGCAATAGTTTTTAAGCCAGCATCAAGACCAGTAGTAAGTTCATTAGCACTCTCAACCACATCACCTTTCTGATGGCTATTCAACTGTGTTTCTGATAGGGTAATATCATCACAATGATCCAGCGAAGAAACATCCTGATCCTGATGCTCACTCACCAAGACAGAAGCATTAGCAATCACATCACTCTCTTGAGGATCAATAGAATTTTCAGGGTTCTTCAAAGAGTCCTCCAACTGAGAAGGATTTTTAGTCTTGTTAACACGACCGCTAGAAGTTAATCCCGAAGCTTTATGGAGAGATGGCTTTGATTCCAATGGAACTATACTACTTTTCTTCGTAACCTTGTTATACAAACTAGGCTTTGCTGGATACATACCGGAAGAGTCCCCAGGTGCCGCTGCTGTTTTTGTTTTTGTTGTTTTGCTGCTTTTCATCAATTTTTGTTCCTGCTTCTCCTTCACACCCTCTAAACCTCTTTTCTCGATCTGGGTTGCCTTTGGATTTCTTCGTTGTGGCAGGGAATTTTCCACTTTAGGACTCAGTTGCTGCTTGTGCTGATTGAGGCTTCCGACGTGTTGATGTTGTGCCAGAAGAAGAAATTGCAGCAGGAATTTTAACCAGTGATGCCCCTGCTGTTCTCGGTGATGGTGTTGAAGGCCATGACTTACGAGTAGCAGGCAAGGGGGATATTCTGGCTGACACCTTTTCAGCTGAAATTTTTTTGGTTTCCTTCCTTGTATTAGCAGGCTGTGAAGGATTCTTCAGTAACTTTTGGGAATTCTTAACAGTTGTTTGGGACATCGTTGGAGGATCATTTTTATGAATACTGTTCACATTGGTGGAAGCCATTCTAGCTTTCCTCTCATCAAGATTTTTTAGCATTGCTTCAATTTAGCTTCTTTTTCAGCATGCTTTCCAACATTCTCTCCTCTAAGTTTTTGATCCCTCTTCACCTTGTAATGGTGATAAAATCCACCTCTCTGCTCTGGAGACAGATTTTCCTTCATTTTTCCGCACATTTGGTTCAACTCCACTTCCTTCTGTTGGTTCCATTCAACTGTGCTTTTTGACGTTTCATTAGCTTCCTCTTCATGTAATATATCTGTGACCCCTTGAATATCTATAGGACTACAAGAGTTCTCTTCCAGCCTTTCTAACCCCACATCAATGGTTTCCTTGATGTTTTCCGCTCCAGTCCTAGTATCAGATTCCAAATTAACTTCTGCTGATCTCTCCATAATATCATTATCAATGACATTATTAGAAGGCTCTGAAACAGGATGATCTTCAGAACCATTCTGTGATTGGAATTGGACAGCTGATTCACCCATGCTTGCACTCCATCTTCTAAATGCAGACTTACTTGGACCAAGAGATACATTTGCTAACGAGTTCCTTTTCGGAACATCAGCGATCTGCTCCCTTTGTTTACTTTCAAAAAAACTTATAGCATCTTGAACACTCATTCGCTGAACATCATTCTCAGGTTTCTTAATGTGTCCGGTTCCTTCCTCTTCACTATCATCTGAAGCTACATCTTTTTGAAATGATATCTTTTCTTAGCAGGAAAGTAACCAAGGCTCTTTACAGTCAGAGCAGGGGCTCTACGCGAGCCAGTCCTCCCAATTTGAACCCTTCTCATTGGAGATGCTGAACGTCTAGGAGATGCGGATCTTATAAGAGCTCGACTTCTTTCTGCAGATATTGGATTCTCCTCACTTGAGTCAGAAGATTCCTCACTTTCTGTTGATCTATGACGTTCAACCTGCGCAGCTTTTGCTGGTGAAACACCATATTTAACTGGTGTTTCAGAACTTACTGGCTTTGAAATTTTATTATTTCTATCAGTCTTGTTTATGCTACCATTAACTGAAGCATGAGTGCATGAAGAGTTTTCGTCATTACGAGGGTTAGCAATTCCGCACTTTTCTCTCAGCTCTAGAAACATGCACACAAATTTCCTGCAGTGGATATTGACAAGATCTATTGGTTGCTTATAATTCAACTCGAAAACTGTTACAAAAATTTTGGGATGCAAAAGAAGATTGCGATTACAAATTCTTTGGGTAAATCAAATCCAAAGGATTGATGCACTTTTTTTGGAAGGCAACTTACTTTACATCGCTATCCCCGAAATTTTCCGAAAACTTTGCTAGATGAGTGATTTCTTCATAGGAGCAGGTTTCTCCAACCACCTGGTTAAAATCTGCAACTAACTTACTTATTAATGATGCAAGTCTTGAGTCCATAGCGCGTAAGAGCTCATTCCTAGCAAAGGTTTCCAAAGTTCGGTTGAATTTGCAGGAGAACGAGAAGACTAAAACACATTGACTAACAAAATAATATATATATATATATTATATATCAATGGAGTGAACATACTTTGATGTTTCTGATGATGAACTCTGGACTCCAAACTGCTGAGATTTACCATTTTCGCTACTTTGATTATGATTTTGATGACCCTGAGAAAATGAAAGTTTAGCAAGGGAGATGAAATCTTTTAGCTTCCTCCAAACACTTTAGGACATAGGATACTTACCTGAGCATATAGAGAAAGATGAAATCTTCTAGCTTCCTCCAATTGAGATATCTCAGCTTCAATAACTTTAGCAGTATCCAATAAATCAGTAGAACCCACAATATCTAAAAATCTGAGAAAGTAAAAGCTAGTGAATGCAAAGTAGGGAGGAACCTTACTGCTTTTCCAGCAACAGACGGAGTAAACTAAGAAAACGTGGGCAGAAAAAAGAAATGAAAAGAACCTGGAGAAAGTAGATATAGTAAACCATACGGGAGATTTGAGATTGCTGGGGGGTTGGAGTTTGTAATTAGCGGCATTGGAATTTGAACTGGAAATGGATCTGTGGGTGTACAAGTTGTTAAGCTCGGGCAAATGAGGCAAGAGTTTTTGAAGAACCCCAACACTCAGTTTCTCTACATTTTTACCACGACATGTAT